AGTAGAAAGTTCCTTGCTGGAGATTTATCCCGGGATATTTGGCAGGCAAAGCAGAAGGCCTGCTTACAATCCTTCTAACCTTATCACAAATCCTTTTTTTTTATGTTAAATTTTTAAAAGCAAGTTTGTGTTTGTTTTATTGACATTGATTATAATGATTTATGATTTATTGAACATAAATATGCTGGAAACCCTATTAAATATTAGAGCCTGTCTAAAATGAATGTATTTGACATGAAGTATTTTGTCTGGAATTTCTTCCACTGTAGAAAAAGAGGGAGACAGAGAGAGAGAGAGAGAGAGAGAGAGATTTAAAAGAAGAATGTGCTATTGTGAGAAAAAACTATTCTGAAATCTTTGCCGAGGTGTCAAGTGTGCGTGTGTGTGTGTGTGAATACCCACATGCTCTGCTTTTGATTATTTTCACATTCTTTTTTAAAAGAGCCAATTCCATGTATAACAAGCCAGGCATTTAAGGAAGGATTTTCGATCAAAGTTCTCTTGGTGTATTCAGGAGGGATTACAATCGGGGGGGCTCCCCATCTCCGGCAAACAAATCCCCAACATTAAAGCGCCCTTCATCTAAGGAAGCCCAAGTCACTTGTGCAAAGGGGGGGGGGGCTATAAAGCGTCAGTCTAGCCACACGGTTGTGTGTGATGCTCTCTGACAGGTTTCTGGCCTCACACGCTTGCACCGAAGGGGCTTCTGAGAACAGGCTGGTTCCTGTTTCCAGGCCCTTCAACGCTGCCTCGGGTGCCTCGTTCTTCCCCTTCTGGGAAGGAGGGAACTTTCTTAGGAGGAAGTGATGAATTTATTATCTCGGGGTGTGCAAAAGGATGAATTTCCATCCATCGGCTGAAAGAGTCGCTCTTCTCCTGGCAGTCAGGGGTTAAATTAGGCCCAATAAGGAAGATTCCAGCATTTGAAGAGAGGGAAAATGCACCCTTCGCAGTGAAGTAAAGGCTATTGGGTGCACCGTGCAGGAGGAAGTGTAAATGGATGGATTGGTGGGGAAGAAATAAACATGTGGAGTAGAACATCTGTAACTAGGTCCTCCACTGTCTTGTTTGCTGCGTCTAATAACGAGCAAAGAGATTCCTCACGGAGCTCCGTTGCCATTGAAAAGTTAGGAGTTTCTCTTTCGGTGAGGGGGGGGCTGCATAGGTCCCACAATATTGTTGCTTGTGTTGCCTACAACGGCGGAAGAAGAAGTTGCTCCTGCAAAAGCTTGAACGCAACCCCTGGGCCCCGCTGAGTAGTTGACCGTTGCTTCCTTCTTCTCTTCCCAACCCTGCAGCAACAGGTCTACATCGGCTCGGCAGTTGGAGTCTCCCAGCTGCCCCTGCACCGCTGCGACGTCTACGGGAAAGCCTGCGCGGAGTGCTGCCTGGCCAGGGACCCCTATTGCGCTTGGGACGGGGCTTCCTGCTCCCGCTACTTCCCCACGGCCAAGAGGCAAGTCCAGGCTTCCCTCTTCTCTGACCAGCTGACCAGGGCTCCCTCGGTCCCTTCCCCACAGGCAGCCCTCTCTCATGGGGCGGCTTTGGTGGGGCTGGGACTGCGCCGAGGACACCAATGTGGCAACCGGCTTCCAGAAATGCCCACGGTTTCAATTCATCCTCTGTTTGTTTTAGTGCCAATATCGGGTGGTTCATTACCTCCAGAGGCGCCATTGCCTGGCCTAGATGTCAACTGGGCGAGGTGGATTGAAAGAAACACACAACTGCTTTTATATATCCATGGAGGGGAGGCAAACTCTTGTGGACCGGCCCCTCCACAGCCACACTTGCCCTGGGATGCGCCAACTCGGAAATTCCACATCAGGCGTATTTCCCCCACACACAAAGGCCCTTGGCCACATCCTTGGACCCTCCTTAACTGGCTCTTTGGGGCTTTTAGGGCGAGGGGTTTGTTGTTTATGGAAGCAATTAAAAAGCAGCAAAGGGGGAAACCATGGACTGACTTTGCCTGTATTGGCTCATTAAATTGCAAGCCTCTCTTTCCTCTCGCCTCTGTTGGGCCTGGCCTAGTCCTCATTGGGGGGGGGGGGTTGAGTGTTGGTCAATATTTTCCAGACCAATTAATTAATGTTCCAGTTCCATTTAAAACAGTGGGGCAAAATGTTCTTTCTGACCTCTGTTAAGCTTTCCAGAAAAAAAAGGGAGCAATTCCTGAGCTGCGCCCCCTTTTTTCCTGGTCTTTGACGTTGGACACGATTTCAGGGTTTTTCAGTTCCACCGCGGCCGCCTCTTCAACCTCTCTTCCCTCCCCTCCCTTTGGCTGCCTCCTCATTTATTCCGTCTCCCTTCTCTTCTCCTTTCTTTCTTCTTCGGCTTCCAGCAACATCCTTGTTTTCTCTTTTTTTCCTAAAAATTCCACTTCTAGGGACTGGATGGGGGTCTTGGGTCTCTGGGCTTTTGCAGTAGGAACACAACAGTTCCCAGGAACAGAGTTTGGTTTTTTAAAAAAACACATTTTTGCAACATCCTTTTTTAAAAACGGTAATAGCATACGATGTTTCCAAACAAAACAATTATTAAGCCTCTTGTAGGTCCTCATTGTGCTCAGGGCTACCTATGTTCCCAATCGTCTCTTTTAACAGAGAAAGGTTTTGCAAAGAATTATCTCAAATTGTGGGCTTAGAGTTTCAGAAAAGCCCAAAGAAATCTCTATTAGACAACTCCTCTTCCGTGACGGGACAGTTCTTAAATACCATGTTTCTTTTGGCCCCTGAAATAAGCGCTTGGCCTTATTTTCGGGGAGGTCTTATTATTTTTGAGGTGCAGGAGGTGGCGAGCTTGGTCACCTCGTGGCTGCTGCTGTGTGGCAATAGTTTCGGGGAGGGCTTATTTTTGGGGAAACAGGATACGCGTCCATTAATTTTTGATGGAGGCGATCCGTATGCTTAAAATCCACTTCTGTTCATAGGTCCTAAAATGGGAGTGATTGTAGGAGGAGGAGAAGGTGGCCGCCTGGTTCAGCCTCTCTCGGATTAGATCCTCTTGTGAGAATGCTTGCCAGAGAAGAAAGGTGGGGTGCAAACCAAATAAAGACCCCTCCCCCCAAGACTGAAAAAGCTTCCTCCTCCAGACGTTCAGAGGGAAGAGGTGGAGAATAACAAGAACAATAGTGCTGAGAGGAGACATTAGAACTCATGAGTGGAGTTTCCTTTAGCGAGAAAGTCAAATTACTTGAGTTAGCAAAAGCTTGTCTGGTCTTATTTTCAGAAGCAAGAAGAGGCTCGGTAGATTTATTTGTGCATTTATAAAAGTTACACTGAATGT